GATACCTCCAATTCTAACATCAGGATTGCCAATAGAATGCGAAAGGGTAGGTTATGTTGTTGTTCAAAGGGTCAAAGGGGGGGCAAACCAAATGTTGCGAGACAAAGACGTTGTGCATCAGTGCCAAATCTGAGGCCGCAATCATGTCCCCTTTAGATTCACCAAAACTTGAGGCGAGCTGCTTGTCGGGATAGGAGACATGCTTGTCACCGATCTTCTTTGCAATGGCTGTAATCCATCTAAGCACCTGGAATCGACAGTCATACTTGCACAGCTACAATGTTGCAGTTCGTCTTCTCTTTCTTTTGATGACATGTTACGGCAGTATATACAACATTCTGTCCCACAAATAGATGTTGGGGAAAGGCCTGTAGGGTGAGATGTAGAAGTCCTTTTTGACAAGCTGGCATCCTAGGAGTAGTTGTCAGTCTCGTGTGTTCGCCATGACAGTATTGTCACTGGGCTGGCTTTATGTGAAAAATTGCAGGCAACTTCAGGCAACCATAGTTTTTACCATTCAAAATGGGAAGTCCCTAAAGATTTTCCCTCAAACCAATTCTAGGATATTAACGCGAAATTGTGCCCAAATGTGCCCAACAAAACACAGTGATGCTGCAAGTGCTTTATCCAGAACGATGTTTTCCCCGAACATGGAAGCAATCCCCCCGTGCCAGGCTCCAGTGACACAGCAAAACCGCAGAAAGCTCCAAAACATCTGAGCTCCTCCATGTTTTGGGACACCTAAAATCCATGGGTTTGCCATTATGGCCCTACTAGAATTACCCTTTGGGGGACCAGGGTCACATTCGCCTCTACCCCAAATAGGGTCACGTTCGCACCTTTTCACTCAATAAGTCACTCAACCTTTTGGGGTTTAACCGTTTGGGGTGGTGAAGGGTGGGATGTTGACGTTGACGAATGACTAATATTTGCAAACCAAGGACGGCACACCTGCAAAAAGGGTGAAATGGGGTTGGGGTGGGGTGGGATGTTAACGTTCGCTTGCAAACCAAGGATGGCACACCTCCGTGGGGATGTTAACGTTCACTAAACCAAGGATGGCACACCTCCAGACACACCGGGGATGTAAACGTTCCCTATCACTTCCAAGCCCAGGATGGCACACTTCCAGGCATACGGGGTGGCCTTTACACAGAAATGCTTTTACATACAAGAGCTCTTCCAGGGAGGCCATTACAACGTAGCCTCCAGAGCGTCTTGGAAGTTTCTTGACATGGCTGTTGCAACGTAGCATCCAGAGCGTCTTGGAAGTTGTTTGTAATGGATGTTACAGCGTAACATCTAGAGCGTCTTGGAAGCTCATACTTGACATGGATGTTACAACGTAGCATCCAGAGTGTCTTGGGAGTTAATTGAAATGGATGTTACAATGTAGCATCCAGAGCGTCTTGGGAGTTCTTGAAATGGATGTTACAACGTAGCATCCAGAACAACTTGGAAAGTACTATAAACGACACTGCGCTCTGTGCGTAAGTTGACTGTCAGTGCTGGAAAACGATCCTTTCCCACCTCAAAAACTATTGCGCTTGCCACGCAAAACGAGGTCAGGTCCTATTCGCTCCTATCCTAGAGTCAGCTGCGCCCCTACCTCCACCTTGAGTAGGTGCAAGTGCGACCCCACATGAAGTACGGTACCCTCTGGTAATCAAACATGGTTAGCTGGAAAAGCCCCCCTTTAGTTCGATGACTTTCTCCTGAAAATTCCATTTCATGTGGGATTCACTCAATTCCATAACCATCACTCAAATCACCATTTTGATGGGTGGTATAGTGTAGCCCAGCACCGGTCATGGTAGGTTGATGGCTTTTTCGGTTGCCGCGGTCCACCTCGCTATGCTTGTCATGTCTCAGGGCTTCGAACTCGGTCGGCAGCTTGCCTTGCGACCATTGGCATGTGATGATTCTTTTTTGAACAAATGGATGTTTCCATAAATGAGGATACCCAAAATGGATGGTTTATAAGGACAAATCCATCTATAAATGGATGATTTGGGGGTACCCCTATTTTAGGAAACCCCCAAATATTACCTAGACCAACTCTTGCGATCATTCAAAAATGATGGGAAAGCCCTGGTATCCAGTGACTCAGAAAATGATGTTCCCCGTGTTTGAGTCAATTGGGGTATACGTGGACATCTGAACGCGCGCATGGATTTCTTTGTGGCCCATCTGACTCCTTTAATTTCTGATTGATTCTGGGATGCTCTGTTTACAGATCATCCACCCAAACGAGTTGCCCGGCTCTCACCTGCCAGACTAAAGCGAACAAGGCTGAAGCTCACAAGAAATGTGTAGATCTATCTGTCTAGCTAGCCAGCCAGCCAGCTAGCAACCCCCAATTAGATAGAAAAGTAAAATCCCACTGAAGTAGTGATAAATCACTTCTCTACAAGGTGGGGCCCCCCAGTTATAAGATGGTTTATAAACCCCATTAACTATAGTTATAGGTACCATAAACCATAGTTATTGGAGTTATAAACCAACTTAGCTATCTAGGGGGCCCCACTTTGTATCTTTTCTGGGGTTTACTTTCCTGTACACTGCATAATTTGTCGTCAAAAGGCTCAAGTCGTAACTTGGAATGTCTCTGGGATTCACCATCACAGGCTTCTTCAGTGTAGCCTCCTGGGTCTTGAGATGCTGATGGTGATGGTGTGTTTTCTTCGCTTGGATCTTGCTGCTTCTGATTTGGTTCTGCAGAGTCAACCACGGAAGAAAGAGCTTCCGTGGTAACGCCCGCGAGCGGCAAGTCATGGTACTCATGAGCAACGCGTGGAAACAAACATCCAAGATACCGTCAAGTGACAGTCAACTGGAACTCAGAATGTGGGAACAATGAAGATCCTGCCCTGACAGCTATAGATGGCTCACCTGCTATGTCTAGTTCTGCCTTGTCTAGCACCCTGCTTCCTTCATATTCAAATAGTGCTGGAACCAAACAGCTGCGATCGACAGTATGACCCAAGTTCCTAAAAGAGACTCTCACATGTATATGCATAATCCGTCCGTATGTATGTCATGTATGTCATGTATGTCATGTATGTCATGTATGTCATGTATGTCATGTATGTCATGTATGTCATGTATGTCATGCATGTCATGTATGTCATGCATGTCATGCATGTCATGCATGTCATGCATGTCATGCATGTCATGCATGTCATGCATGTCATGCATGTCATGCATGTCATGCATGTCATGTATGTCATGTATGTCATGTATGTGTGTATGTGTGTATGTGTGTATGTGTGTATGTGTGTATGTGTGTATGTGTGTATGTTTGTATGTTTGTATGTTTGTATGTATGTATGTATTTATTTATTGATGTATTGATTTATTGATTTATTGATTTTTTGACTCATTGATTTAGTGAATTATTGGTTTATTGGTTTATTGATTTATTTATGTGAGAGTCGTTCCGCTTCTAAAGATCGAACTCATCTGGAACAGATTTTTCACTGATCCCAAGCTGCCTGAGGGTCTGCATTTGAGTGGAATCTCCTTGGAGAGAAGAGACTCCGACGATATATCATCCTTGGAGCAACGGCAAAATCATCTGCCTAGTTATGTTCAACGGATTGGTTGAAGGGAAAATCGACAGGAAACCATGAATTTTCCCGTGAAATATTGGGGTTTCCTTTAGATTGTCTCTTGAACCAATCCATTGATATGGTACTGTGGAGCGTTTTCCTTAATCACACCTGTGAAATGATGCAATCCCAAACCAAGCACAGTCAAATTCATGGTTCATGGTTCCATCTCCACCGTGTCTTGTAGCAAAATCAGAAATCTGGTGGACTGCGCTGGACTGCCCGACTGGCCGATGAAATCACCGCAGCTGGAGCCAAATGCAGCTTTGAAAAACCACCAAGTCCATATGGAGGGTCATAACATACGGCAGGAACTACCCTCTGGTAAACGTTTACATAACTGTGGAAAATCACCATTTTTAATGGGTAAATCAACTATTTCTATGGCCATTTTCAATAGCTATGTTAAATTACCAGAGGGTACCTCATGATGTGACATGCTTACTCCAATACATATGTGTGTATTCGACTTTGTGTATGTATACATGTGTATATCACAATATGCACGCTGTGTGAGCCTACAATGTATTGTATGTACAGATGTGTTCCTTCACAAATCGAAACACAAACATGTCATTGATACATCGGAATACATCGGATAGATTTGTCTTTACAATGCACTCGTCTTTAGTTCAGTTTCTCAGCCTTCCAACCCCTGTTCCAGACCTGGACATGGCAAGTTGAGTGGCAAAACTGGGAATCGAGCTATCGAGATGTTGAGACAACCCACATATCCATGAAAAGAAAAAAACATCCCCTTCAAAACATTGTGAATGATCCAAAGTGAACATATCTGAGACAGATCTTACAGACCAAAATGCAAAATGGGACCTGAACCTTAAAAACATCAAAGATCAACGGATTGCAATCCCATCCCAAAAAATAGGCGCCGACCTTTAAAAACAACGACTCCCGCCGATGGCAGGACGGTCTCGGCTCAGATCGCTTGGGTTCGTGCAATTGTTTTTTTCTGATTGGTGGCAGACCAAGCCATCTGTTAAAATAGTGGTCAATCTTCCATCATCCTCCCATAGTTACTATGAAAAAAATGCTTGATCTGAAAATTTGCAAATGAAAAAAATGGTTGATCCCAAATGTGGTTAATACTATTTAATATGGTTAAGCCACCAACCAGATCACCCGGGTTATCTGACCAATGCCTGGTGCACCAGCATGACATCAACAAAGGCACCATCGTTCCAGGGCCCCAGTGTGCCGAGAGTGAAACATGGATCCCCATGGGGGGTTCCATCAATGGTTTATAATGGAAAATAATGGAAAACTCTACTAAAATGGATTATAATGGTTTATAATGGTTTATAATGGTTTATAAGAGTCAAACCCCACAATAGATGGTTTTTTTCATGGAAAATTGTATACTAAAATGGATGATAGCTGTGGGTACCCCGATGACTTAGCAAAGCTATGACACAGCATGTTAGATACTCTTAGGCATCAGGGCCTCAGAATTTTGCCGTCACGGTCGGGGAGAAATACATCTTCGCATACATCTGGAACTCCGCCTCTTTGGTGTCGGGTGGCACTGCTGTCTTCCACTCGGACATCGCCTCACTCTCGGGCCGGCTTTGACGGCCAGGAGTCAGTGCAACACTGGATACACCGCCTAAGGCGGTGTAACTCTCGTTGTCGCCAAGCTCGAAATCGTCGTTTTCAGGCTCCAGACCATGGTGAGGCTTCCCCGGCGAGTTGCCCGGGCCTGTTCAGCTTACAGAAGTTGTACCATGGCTTCCACAAGAAATAAATGTATCACAATGAAACAGAGTAAAAATGAACATGGAAACGACATAATACATATTGATACTGTATGAGGACATTCAAGAGCGGGACAAACCACGTAATGCGAATTGAAGGTTCGCAAGGGCCTGCAAGCATACGCAGATATGAACTGATCCAATATTGCCACCTAGGAACTTTCGGATAAATATTGCTGCTGGTCGACCATCACAAGCCGATTGTTCAAGGTGGTCACAGTTCCAGACCTCAACGGCAAAGCGAGTTGATTCGCTTTGACCATCAGGTCTTCTTCGGAAGATTGTGCCGGCAAGAAGGGAAGCGCGATTTCCAGGAAAATGGATTTGAGAACGTGGGCATAGGCCTGTGTATCAATTGTTTCAAGTCCTTGCAATCTGGAAGACTGCACTAATTTTCCAATCTTGACAGGGGAAGGAATTTCGAAAATATCATCAGCAACGACCGGGACCGCAAAGCAAGAACGCAAATGTCTGGCTTGGAGCAGCCAGCTGGCGTAATAATACGATACTAGACATTGATCAGTGCACAGCACGATCAAATGGGGGGACGACTGGGTATCTGCCAGACCAGCCACCAACTTCTGCTTCGGATTTGCGATGACAGTTGGCAAAGAAATATGACTCCCCATCATCAACGGTGCCATTAACTTCGCTAAGACGTGAGCTGTTGAGATGGCTTCCATATTCTCTGGGTCGGCCAAGATGTTCATGTCTGTTCTGCAGGTGGTGGCGGGCAAACTGACGAAGGTGTTGGTCAACTGGTTGATGATGTATGTCCTGGAAATGAGGAGAGACAATGACATGGTACGCTGTCAAAATTTGGGCATCCCATGAATGACAATGAGGCGCTAAAAAAATTACACCGGCAAGAGACCCCAAACAGTGTGGGGGGTAGGAAGTCAAAGTAGCAGATACAAGCAACAGCTATGGAACGTAACAAATGAGGTTAAACATGATCGCAACTGCAGCAGCAGGACCTTCTATGTAGATCTAAATAGTGGAGCTCACAAGATCTTCATACAAGACCAGAAGAGTTTTCATAGAAGCAGCGATGCAAAGCATCTGCAAGATCTTAATTCAAGGCCCTCTTGAGGAGGATTTCAACAGGATTTCCACAAGATCTTCTCACAAAGTCATGCGAAGGCACCAAGAGGATGTCACCAGGACCGCATCAAGGGCTTCTCATAAGGACCTGTACAAGATCATGCAAAAGCCTGTGACAGCACCTCGCTAGGATCTCCAAAAGATCTTCGCACAAGCAGGTGCAAAAGACTTTGACCAAGATCTTCATGCCAGGACCCCTAAGGGAAGCTCACAAGATCGTCATAAAAGGGCTTGCTGCTGCTGGAGCGAATCTTACAAGATCTTGGTACAAGAACCTCCCAAGAGCCTCCCACAAAGGCTTTCACACAAGCACCTCTAAGACATGGCATCTGCTCATGCAAGTACCTCTTAGAAAGGATCTCACCAGGATCTGACCTGTACAGGAGCATGCAAGGACCTCTTAGGGCCGAACTTAGCAGGATCTCCACAAGAGCCGTTTATGCGAGAATTGATTATGAAAATACCGCAGACCAAGAGCTTGCAAGCCCCGCAGCACAGATTTTGTGCGAGCCTGCGCAGTCGAAATGCACATGGACATGTCACAAGGGTCATTATGTGCGAGAATTCTCAAGTAAAATGCCCCAGGCCAAGATCAAGCTGACCGCGACCCGCGCTTTGTGCGAGCCTGTGCAGTCGAAATGCACATGGACATCTCACAAGAGCAATTTTATGCGAGAATTTACAGGAAAAAAACTGGACAACAGATAAAGCACCCTGATCAAGCACCAGCCTTAGCCCTTACCGTAAGAACGACTTGCTGTTTGGAGGGGAGAAAAAAATTGGCTTCAGGTGGGTCTTAGATGTTATGCATTGCCGTTGCCCAGAGATCACGCACGAGTGACCGCCAAGAGTTTTCAAACGGGGGTTGAAAATCCCTCGAACCCAACACCACCTTCCAAGGTACCACCAAAATGTTCGTGGACCCATTTTCGAATTATTCTTCTGTATCCCCTATATTTTTGAAGAGCTTTATCACATTATATACCAAAGTGGCCAAAAGTGGCGTCAAGCTTCAAGCTCCCTTCGGTAAAGTCACTGTTGACTGGAATCTGTTTCACCGAGCTCAACCAGTGCAAGGTTTCACGGACTTCAGCAATGCCAAAGCCATAGCTGGCAAAATCTCCGATGTCAGGGACAAGCTTGTGGTATAACTTCATAAACTGTTCATCTGGCAGCTCAAAGCCAGGAAAGGTCAGCAGAACTGTGTCCACCTTCTCCAGTCTGGCAATGACCATTTCTCCTAGGCACCATTTCCTTGTAAGAATCTGACTTGATCCCAAAACCACAAAGGTCTTCACATCATGACTCACATACGAGAACAGCTGGGTCAAATCTGTCAAATTGTCTGAGTCCAAGAACGCTGTGAAGGAGGATCCTCGGGACCTGAGTTCCATCTTCAGCAGCCGCGCCCAACAGGCCGTGGAAGCTTTGTGATGACAGAGGAAGAAGTGAAATTGTTTGTGAAGTTTGGAAAGGATGTGTCGTGCTGCTGACTGGGCGGCTGCAGACACAATGGCAATGATCATAAAGCTGGCACAGGCGGTGCACACGATCATGGTCACATGTTCCTGCACATCCACAACTGCAAGCGCTCCCATCTGTAAAATCAGCAGCAGAGCCAAATGAGTTAGCATGTCCACTTGCGTAGAAAGAAGCGAGCGCCAGGGCTTGTAGTAGGCGATCAAACCAAAGCTTGTTGCCAGCCTGTAATTTCCAACGACAGTTTTCTGTTCACACGCACAGGCGTGCCTGTCTGCATGTACGTGTGTGTGTGTCCCTATCTATATATCATATAATATATATATATGTATATATATATGTATATATATGTATGTATATATATGTATATATATATATGTATATATATATGTATATATATATGTATATATATATGTATATATATATATATGTATATATGTGTATATATATATGTATATACATATATATGTATATACATATATATTGGATTCAAGCAGGCATTGCACGTTTTATGCCGTGCACGAAGGCTCTGCTACCTTGACCATGTTAGTCAAGGTCCCTTAAAAATGCCCAGATTAGGGACACTCAAATTGTCCATGGCAGGACATGTCTAAACGCCCATGGCAGGGCTTTGATGGTCATGTAGACCCATGCATGGTGCTCATGGCAGAGCACATCAAAACGATGTCCATGGCAGGACTAACTCAGCCACGTACACCAGTTTTTCTCTTCTTTCCATTCCCCTTCCTTGGGTGGGTGGTGTGGGAGCCCAAAAGCTGCACCAACACCATAAAAGGTTACATGTACCTGTTTCATCCAAGAAGTCGAAGCGACCACATTGGATTCAAGCAGGCATTGCACATTTTATGCCGTGCACGAAGGCTCTGCTACCTTGACCATGTTAGTCAAGGTCCCTTAAAAATGCCCAGATTAGGGACACTCAAATTGTCCATGGCAGGACATGTCTAAACGCCCATGGCAGGGCTTTGATGGTCATGTAGACCCATGCATGGTGCTCATGGCAGAGCACATCAAAACGATGTCCATGGCAGGACTAACTCAGCCACGTACACCAGTTTTTCTCTTCTTTCCATTCCCCTTCCTTGGGTGGGTGGTGTGGGAGCCCAAAAGCTGCACCAACACCATAAAAGGTTACATGTACCTGTTTCATCCAAGAAGTCGAAGCGACCACATTGGATTCAAGCAGGCATTGCACATTTTATGCCGTGCACGAAGGCTCTGCTACCTTGACCATGTTAGTCAAGGTCCCTTAAAAATGCCCAGATTAGGGACACTCAAATTGTCCATGGCAGGACATGTCTAAACGCCCATGGCAGGGCTTTGATGGTCATGTAGACCCATGCATGGTGCTCATGGCAGAGCACATCAAAACGATGTCCATGGCAGGACTAACTCAGCCACGTACACCAGTTTTTCTCTTCTTTCCACGCCTCCCAGCCGCATAAGCGTGGTGCTCGTTGGCGAAGATCGACGAAAACCTAGCCACCTTAAACTTGGAAGACATTGTCATCTGCAACCTGGGAAGCATTGAAAGGCCATCGGAGATGTAAATTCGAGCCACATTGCTATTTTTCCATCTTCCTCGAATGAGCGTATGCTCCATGAGGCCGTGTGTTTGCATTTCAAATGTAGCACCACCCCGTCTGAGGCTGTAAGGCCTAAAGTTTAAATGGGTCAGCTCCAGCTCTTCCAGGATGCGACGGAACTGCTCCCGAAACGCTGATCCACTGCGGTCCCAGCATGGGGTGTTCTCAAAGCCCTGGGCTCGTCGCACCTCAAGCATGGCCAGCACTGTTTCCAGCGTGATAGGATCACGTATGGTCACGCTCTCCCGCACGTTGTGCCGGACTCCGCTTTTACTGCTGGGGATTGAAACCAGGCCCACTTTATTGTCACAAATGAAATCACACGGCCTGATTTGTAACAGCTCCCCCGTCCGCATCAGACAGTGAAACCCTAGAAGCAATAAAGCTCCCATGGTAAGCTCTGAATGGATGATGGAGAACCCCGCCATGGCCAAAACAATGTCCTTGGTCAGCGGTGGCGCCCGACAGGGCACTTCATAGCGTCTCCAAATGGAGTACAAGCGCCAGCTCTGGGTGAGCTTCTTCTTGGTGTAGGGCTCGAAGTGATGAAGCCCACTGAGGGCATCAGCCACAAGGTGAAGAGGGCAGCCATCTTCAAATTGCTCCTGTATCCATTCTGCGATGAATTCGTCCAGCTCCAGCTCAGTGTTGACCTGTTCTAACACCGGGGCCAAACGTGAAACTGCAAAGAAGTAGCGCTCCAATGTCGCGCTAGTGATACCAATGTCCCCCAGGACTATATCCAATCTGGCCCGACGACGCTCAGCCTGACTGGCATGCCCTGGCCACATCTTACGCTCTGCTGTCATGATCGGTGGGGTTCTCCGTACTTTCAACGTGGGAGATGATCAGCTGGAGGTCAAAGGTGAGGAGGATGGCACCCAAGCGCCGCAGCAACGGCTTCAACATCCGTGAGGACGAGCGACCCTTCGAGATGATACTCATACAAATATAAGAATCAGTTAAGTGAAAGATCCTCACGTGATGTTCTTTGAGATGCCTTACCCTCCATTCGATGGCATGTATAATAGATCGTAACTCTAGGCTGTTGATGTGATCATGTTTTTGCCACCTGTATGCGAACACTTTTGACCATTCCCACCAGTCAGCTAGTGCACTCTGCCTAGGAAAAGCCTTAGGGTTGAGCACCAAACCGCTGGCAATCCTGACATCTGACCCCGTGTGGTTGACCCTCCGGAGTAAACAACTGTGCAACCCAGAAACAGGAAAACTCTTTGTCGAAAGACCGTACGAAAGCTCCCGGGTAAGAGGGATTTCCACATCCAGACTACAGCAAAACCCTGGGGGCATACCCATCCTATTTGCCAACATTCCATAACGGGGGACACTGACCCATTGTTGAACCAACATGGCCGCCACATAAGAAAAGGAGTAGCAACTGAAACTGTCCCCCACCAGGGTTTTCCGCAAATCTTCGTATTCTTGGGGTGATCTCTTGATGTCAGAAGCGTTCCAACACAAGCTTGTGTGCCCCGCTCCCAATCCATGAAGTAACTCCCTTTCCAATGACGAAATGAGTCTCCATCTATTGCCAACCCAAATGATGAAGCGATGATGGTATTGATATGGGGGGAACTTGAAATCGTCAGCCACCCACCTACATTTACCATCATGGTCAACCCTGTCAAGTCCGGCTGGAGCAGGGGGTGGCCGTGACCTTTTAATACACTTCATGCAAGTTGGAAGAGTTGCCCCTTCTTGAAACCCAGGCCATTCTGCCCCTGGCTCCAGCCACTGTGATAGCTCTGGGAACGGGTGTTGGATGGTGATCTCGACCCACCTTTCTTTTTCCTGCACATCTACACCGTCCATAGGTGCCAAGTCGGTATTCGACCAGCAGAACCTGGGCCTGTGAATTGGGACTGTGTGACAAGGGTCCAGGCGCAAGGGTTTCCCGCCAAGGACCTGTGAAATCTCGCCCTCTGCCGCAGCGTCCATGCTCGAGACGTTCTCCACCACGTAGCGAACCTTGAAGCTGTAGCCATACACCTTCCGGATGTCTTTCACGATCCGGGGTATTTCAAAGAAAAGGCTGCTTTGATCTCCCTCCAAGTTTTGTCTTCCCAGCTTCACTCGGCTCAAGTCCACGCATGGGAAGCCAGCCCACACATGCACCTCCTCCACCTCTGGGTGGAGGTATCGCCAGCGCTTTATGGTGGCCAGGTCAATGGACCTCACGTCCTTGCAAATCTCCACATGGGGCCACCTCCTTGAAGTGATTCTGTTTGCGGCTGCATTGAGCTCGTATGATATGGCCACCATCGGTCGCACCCCACAGAGGTCGTAACACCGGAAGGCACAGCCGATGCCGTTGAATAACGACAGCACCAGCACCGGTATTACCAGCCCCCCAGTTTGGCCGCCTCGGTCCAGCCCGACAAACTGGCTGCCAGCTTTGCTGAGGGAAACACTCTTCCCAACCGCTCCACCAGTCGATGAAGCGTCACTGGCAGTCGTCACCTCGCTGAGTGTCGACCGCAAGCTTGTATGGACCAGCAAGCTCATCAGGCAGCACCCAAACAGTTCACCCCGGACCTTGGCCTCCACGGACTCACCAGAGACCTGCCCAGAGATGAACATCCATGTATAGTCCAAAGCCGCCATGGCTGGTCTCCTGAAAACCATGCAGTGAACCCATCTGCCAGCGATCACCTGGACCCACTTCTTCCTCAGCCTGCCTTTGGCCAATACTACCAGCGTCGATTGCACCAGTTTGAGCAACCTCTCAGGACTGGGTCCAAGAGTCCCCTTGACTCCATCCACTTGTGCCCCAAGCTCTTGCACCACACCTGCCTCCGAGACTCGCTTCTTTGCTGAAGATAGCACTCCTGCGCGTTCCCAAGCCTTTTCAAGGGCCAGGTGCAATTCAGCACCTGAAGCCCTATCAGGGTCATCTCCAACCTTTTCCATCGCACAGAAGTTATCCAGATACACGTGATACCAAGGCTTCCCCTTGGACTCTGCTAGATCCAGCGTGTCGGTCAACCACACTGGGAGAGGTGAGGTCCGACGAACCCTATGCGATGCTGGCAGCCGACCCAGCACCGTCAGCCTCTCAGCGATCTCCTGCATGACCGAGACGGCTGAATGCCATCCCATTGGAATCACTGAGCACGCGGGGCGGTACACAGTGCCCTTCTGGAGCCCAAGGGATTCACCGGGAAAAGCAATGTTGAAAGCCAAGTTTGGCGCCCAACACGCTGGAAGTTTGAAGAGGTAGAACGCTGAGGACATGTCACTTTGAAACATAGCCAGTTTTTCACTTCTGTTCAGAACCAGGGAGAGATACTGGCAGATCGAGGGGAGGTCACCCGTAGCCCCTTCAACTTGCGAAAAACACGCATTGGTGGGTATAAGGTTCATTATAGTTCGTTGAACTTCTTCACCAGTTGATAAGAAGGTATTTTTACCCACGGCAAACATTCCATTCAGTACCTGTTGATTGTTCACCCGCAAAACATCTTCATCAGCTACCCACGTGCAAATACGCCGTTCTACCAACAGTTGAAAATACTCCAGAGCCTCATGAGGGGAAATGTGGACCTTAGCCTGCAGTTTAACACCTTCTTTTGGGGTTTCCAACAACGACTCTTCAGGGTGTTCAAGGAGCCGTCGGGTACCTTCTGAAACCAAACCCAGCGCATCAATGGACCCCCCGTGCGACACTGGCGGAAGTGCCGCTTGTGCCGCTTTTAGGGTTAATACTTGCATCTTCGGGACCTCCTCCCCGGAGTAACTAAGGAACCGGCTTGAAAGCTCTTTTTCCGCCTGCTCACAAGTCCGCGTAAGGCGGGTCTCAAGATCCAGCACCCTGTTGATGCTGCGCCCGATCGCCTTTGTCGCCTCCTTCTGGGCCTCAGTGCCCTTCCTCAAAGGCGCCACATGGCCATGTCCAGCCAATCCATTGACGCCCAGGATTCCCAGCGCCAACCAGACGTCCGCAGCACTCGGCAGCGCAAAATGCGCATTGCAAAAATCATCCAGGGCCATGCTCTGAGCGGCCTCATGGACATTTGAAACAACACCCAAAGGAAGGGGAAAAAGGGAGCGGATCCTTTGAGGACCACTCCGGTGCACGGCACAGCCAATCACTGACTTTCCCAGCACCGCCTGGCGTAGGGCCAGCGAAACGCCCCTTTCCAACTCCAGCCGGGAGAAATTAAAAACCATCCAAGCCATCGCGCGGCCCAAGGTGCCAAAGTCACCGCACCTAGCCGCCAACAGCTTAAAAATCCTCCCGCTTTTCTCCAACCGAAGTGGCAAGGGCACGGACGCTTCCAGCCCCACCTGAGTTGCAACCAGCTGTAAATTCTGTGAAACCCGAGCCTCTGCACTCACTTCTTTGGCGCCTCCTCCTTGTTCTCGCGCCAACTGTTCTGATCGCCCTTGGGGGCTCCCCAGCTCTGCTCCTTCGCTCCTTTGCCTTTGCCGCGGCCCCCCCGGCCTTTCTGGTCCCCCTTCTTCCCTTTCGTGCCAGCACCAGTCCCTTTGCCTCGACCAGTGCCCGGCCACCACGTCAGGGAAGTGGGAAGGCCCTGAGATTTCATCACCAGTCGGCGATGCTTGTGGGCCTCCAACATGGTGGCCGTATTGGCCGATTGAATCGGCTCCAGGGGGAAAAGTTCCAGCTGCGACGCCGTGGTCCATGATCCTTCCGTCAAAGCCGTGTGGACGGCTATGAATCTGGACGCCAAGGCGTCCGCTGTCTCCGGCAGCTTCCCCATGCGGAGCAAGTCTATTGCCTGACCCAAGGCATACAGCTCCCGCAACAATGGGGACCCCGCCACATGATATGGGCGGATCAGCAGCGCGAAGTAGGTCGAGATCTTCACCCCTGTTGTAATGGAGGGCTGAGCGCCCTCTGTTTCGAGGAGGGCCCCTCGATCCAGTTGGAGCTGCGCGTGCTTCACCAGCATCTCCATCACTGAACCGGGCTCTCGAAGGGCCCTCTTCCTCAACGGTGGCTCGTAGCTGAGCTCGCTGTCGGCGTCGCTCTTTGCCTCCTGGTCCTTTGACTCGTCTGTGTCTGAGCTGTCCGAGCCGCTGGACCCTGACCCTCCGGGATCGTCGGGGTCTGGCTTGATGTCCCAGGTGACCCTTCTCTGTCCTTCTGTTGCTGACCTCTTGTCCTTCTTCTTTTTCTTTTTCTTTTTGCCCTTTCCCTTGAGAAGGGCCAGAAGTTGGTGCAACGCATCGTTCTTCTCCTTGGACTTCTTCTTCTCTTTGCGCTGCCGGGCCTCCTGGGCGGACACCTGAGCTGCCTGTGCCAAGAGGGCTGAAGCGGCATCGGATTTCCCAGCCAGCTTCCTCATCAAGTGCTTCGAACCATCGTCTCTTGTATCCTCCAACGCCATCACTGGCGTGGCCATCCGCCGCACGGGGTTCAAGGAGGTCCCAGCGACCAGGCCCGGGCGCGGAGCAAAGTCTGTAGATGCGGCCTCGCGCCCACGCCTCGCATCCTTTTCGGCCGGGGCACGGCGTGCTCCAGCCCCGCCTCCCAGGATGCGGTCTTTGGCACTCTTCAAAATTGAGCGCAAGTGCTCTCGGCTCACCTGAGGCGATTCTCCATCCTCGTTGCCACCCTCGTCTGGATTGCCTTCCTCTCCATCCGAAAGGACTGGTATCACCCTTTGACGGGCCCCGTCGGCATCTCCTTCTCCACCCTTGCGGCGCTTGTCTGGCGCTGTAGTGGTGGTCGCCTTCCTCTTCACTGGACCTCTGCCCGCGGGCTTCTTCTTTGTTCTTTGCGCCTCCACAAGCTTTTTGACCACACTTTTTCCCGTTCTCGTGAGGTAAGGTGCGTCGAAGTTCACCGGCTTCCATAGTCGCACTCTTGTGGCATGAATAAGGTGAACGTTCAGGCTGCTGCAAGGGTCGTCTTGACATAAATGCACCGCTCCGTCCCCAAGGTAGCTTGAGACTTCCCCCGAATGCGCGAGATCCTCGCACCCAAGGAAGTCCCCGACCACATGGGGCCCATCCGAAGCGTCCCCAACAGAAACCCTTTGTATGCTCATGCCAAACCATGCCTCGGAGCCCATGCCTATTGAACTCCCATGGAGGGCTACCTCCAGAATGGCACCAACTGGGAGCCTGGGAGGCGGCCATCCCTCGTCTCCAAGGGCCACCTCGACCCCTTCTTCTCCCGAGAAAACCAACTCCTCGGGCGCCTCCTCTTCTTCCCGTCGCTTGGGCGGCATTGTGCCGCTCAAGGGGGCGAAGGGGGCCTGTCCCAGAACTGGTCTGGGGGCTTGTAGTGAAACCTCCGAAAGGGATCTTCCGCAGCCTTGTAATGCTTCTGATGTTTTGATCCTCCACGGTGGTTATGTCGCTTCTTTCTTTTCTTCCCTTTCTTCTCACCAGTTTCGTAGTGAGCTCGGCGATCACCCCGATAGTGATGCTCCTCGTACTTGTCCCTGCGCGACCTTGACCTTCTGCGTGGCCGGTCCCTTGAAGGGGCACGATAGGTATCAGCCTCTCTTCGTCCCGAGCCTCTCTCTGAACCTTGGTGTCCAGAGCTTCGATTGTCTGAGGCCCGTCTGTCTTCAGGCCTTCTCCTGGGCAGATCCTCACGGTGATCTGGCCTGGCGGACTCCTCCCTGGGGCGAGGGGCGGACTTAGGCGCAGCCTTAAGCCCAGAGTGGGTTGCCGTCTCCTTGTCGTCCTTCTCCTCCGCTGGCTGCTCGTCACCTGACTCCTCAGCGTCGGTGTACTCGGAGCTCTCCTCTTCAGCCTCCTTCTTCACCGACTCCACTGGTGCAGGGGGTGGTGCCTCTGCTGGCTCGACCCGAGGAGGTGTGGGGACCCTCGGCGGCACCACAGTTGGAGCACGCTCAGGTGCAGCTCCAACTGGTGAAGATGCTCGGACCCTTCCAGCACCTGCAATCCCCAACCTCCTCAGGGCCCGCACGTGCCTCACAGAGGATGCTAGCAGGTCGCAGGCCAAGACACGAGTGCCAGCTTGACCCCACGCCTGCCGCAACTCACCTGAAAGGGCCTCAAGTGCGCTGCACCCCAAGCACCAGGTGTCACCCAAGTGTGGCTCGCCTTGGCCACACTTGTTACACCTACCACTCATCTAAACTGAGCCCAAAAGCTGCACCAACACCATAAAAGGTTACATGTACCTGTTTCATCCAAGAAGTCGAAGCGACCACATATGTATATATATATATGTATATATATATATGTGTGTATATATATATATGTATGTATATATACATATATATATGTATATATGTGTATATATATATATGTATGTATATATACATATATATATGTATATATGTGTATATATATATATATGTATGTGTATATATATGTACATATATATATGTATATGATGGAGAGACCTTCAGGGACTATTTTCTTGCTTTGCTCCTCGCCGTTTTCTTTTCTTTTAATTTAATTCAACTATTTTAATTCTTTCTAAGTAATTAGAATCATTAGAATAACTAGATTAAATTTATTTAACTTATTTTAATCATTTTAACTATTTCAATTATTCTAATTATCTTAGTTATGTTAATAGTTTTTTAGTTTTTTAACTTATTTTTACATTAGTTCCATGGTCGAAATTATTCAGATTATTGTATTTGTTCATATGTAAGAAATGCAGGTTTATCTCCATTTTTTCAATGGGTTTTTAATCAACAATTCCAAAACCATTCAAAATAACAAAAAAAGGTAAAATTGCCAAAATGATCAAAATTAACAATTTGCCAAAAAATACAAAAATTGTCAAAATGTCAAAATGGCGAAACTCTGCCAAAATGGCTAAAAATACAACATTTGCTAAAATTAGCCCATTTGACTAAAATCGACAGATAACCAAGATTTGCCAAAATTGCTCAAATTTGCAAAATTAGCTAAAGTCGGTCAAAATTGACAAAATGACCAAAATCAACAAATTGCTCAACATTACAAAACGTCCCAAAATGCAAAAACAGCGAACAATTGCCAAAATTGGCAAGATTGATCAAAATTAGCAAATACTCAAAATAAACAAACATTGCAAAATTTGTCGATGTTAGTCTAGTTTAGTCTTGTTTACTCTAATTTTATATACTTTAGTGTAGTCTAGCCTAGTTGAATCTATTTTAGCCTAATTGAATCTAGTTTAACCTAGTTCAGTCTAATTTACTCTGATATAATTTAATTAAAAATCTTTTGCTAGTTATATATCTAATTTACTTTAGTCCAAAATCAATCCAATTTAGTTCAGCTTAACCGAATTTAGTCAAGTTTAGCATGATTTAATCTAGTTTAATCTAATCGAATGTAATTTTGTTTAATTCAATCTATCTTAGTCCAGCTTAATCGAATTTAGTGTAGTTTAGTCTCGTTTAGCCCAGCTTAGCCTAGTTTTGTCTAGTTTTGTGTAAATTTGAACTAATTTAATCTAATTCTTGTTTAGTCTAGTTTAGTTCAGCTTAATCTACTTTAAACTAGTTTAGTCCAATTTAGTGTATTTTAGTTTACTTTAGTTTGCACCGATCTAGTTTGGTTTTTAATTTAGTCGGTTTTAGTCCACCTGAATCTACTTTAGAATCTTTCAGTTTAGTTCAATCGTGTTTTGTCTTAGTATGATCTGGTTTCATCTGTTTCAATCTAATTTAGGTTGATCTAGCTTAGTGTAGTTTAGTCTAGTTTAATCTAATATAATATAGTCTAGTTTAAGGTAGTTTCACCTAGTTTAGCCTAGTTTAATCTACTTAGTATAGTTCAGTCTACTTTAATGTAATTTAGTCTAATTTGGTCTAGCTTCGTTTCATCGAATCTACTTGAAACTATACTAGGCTCGTTTAGTCTGGTTTCACTTATTTTAATCTTCTTTACTCTACTTTAGTCTTGTGTAGTTTACGTTAGCCTACTTTAGTCCAAGTTGGGATCATTTACAGTAGTCTAGTTTAGCAAAATAAGTCTAGTTTAGTCTGATTTGGTCTAGTCTAGTTTAATCTAATTTAGTCTAGTTTTATAGTCTAGTTTGGTCTAGTTTAGTTTAAATTTATTCTAATTTAGTCTAGTTTTGCCTACTTTTGGTCTACGTCAGTCTGCTTTAGTGTACTTTAATCGAATTCAGAATATGACTCCACTCCAGTCTATTTTGGTTTAGTTTAGTTTAGTCATGTTTAAACTGAAAGTCAACTAAAGTAAATTCAACTGAACTAAACTAGATGAAACTAAGCTAAATAGTGCAGTGAAATAGACTAAACGAAGCTAAACTAGACTAATCCAAACTAAACTAAACTGAACTAGACCAAATCAGCTGAAAACTGACTAACCTACTGTAGACTAAACTAGATTAAAGTAGATCAAAGTAAAACAATCTGACCAAACTACACTCAACTCGACTAGACTACCATTTTCTCAATCTTTTTTGTTTCCTTTTGCGGTTTTCGCTTTCCCTTTTCTCTGTTCTCGGCCATCTTCACGCTATTCAGTAATGTGCTTTCTTCCTTGCCCTCCTGCACGTTTTTTGTTTCCGCTTCTACTTCCTCTTCCTTGTTAAAACCATGTTTTTCTTGTTCTTTCTTTCTGCTTTTGTTTTCTCGTCTAACCTCTTCCTTTTTCTTCTTCTCACTCTTCTTTCTCTTTCCCAATTCCGAACTTTCAGAAGAAGCAAAGCTTCCTGTCATTGTTTGAACGTGCACGCGGCAAACAACCTCAAGCCACACACTCTACGAGCAGGAGGAGGAGAAACAAGAGCAAGAAGAGGATATGAACATGAAGGGGATAAAACAAGTGTGAATAGTGTGAATAGCATACTGCGCATGAAAGCCTTCTTTTTGTGATTGTGATGGGGCCCTTGCAATCTTTGAAAGCAAGGCCAGAAATAAAGAGAACACGCAATTCATAGAAAGAGAAATTCAGCAGAAAGAAATAAACAAAAAAGAGGACCAGACGGAGCTGGAAGAGAGGGATGACAAAGGGCAGGTGGGAGAGGACCCAGTGTATAGAAAGAATGTATCACGTATGAACGGCTCCATTTTGAGCCCATGACAGGTCCTGTCAACTAGAATCTGAGATGTTTTTCTGTCTTCTCTTCCCTTTGACCGTTTCCTCTTTCTTCTTTCTCTGTCTGTTCCTCCTTTCCATTGTCCTTTTCCGTTTCCTCCTGCCACTCCTTTTCTTCCTTCTTCTTTTCCTGCCGTGCTATCTTTTCTCCGGTTTTCGTTACATTTCAGTCTCTGTCTCTTCTCTCTTCTTCTTATGCTTCTCTTTTTCCTGTCCTCTTTCTTTTTTTCTTTTTTGGGACTCTTTTCCAAGATTTGCGCTCTGTAACAGTGCCAAAATGCAGTTTCTTATCCGTTGTTTGTTTCCTTTTCCTTGTCATTTGTTTGCTTGCTTCTCCACTTCCATAGCCTGTTCTTTTTCTTCATATCAATTTCTTTTCATTTTTTTCTCCGCTTCTGATTCCTTTTCTAGTTCCTTTTCCAGCGGTTCTTTTGGCAGCCCCTTTTCGAAGATTGAGTGGGGGTCGTTCTTGCACTAAAGCCTCTTTGCCTTAGCAATCTAATTTATGTGTTCTTATTCCAATTTCACGTCGTTTTATCAAGCTCCTCCTCGGTTTTTCATTACAGTAATTCTCCTGTTTGTCTTTTTACCTTTGCCTGTTACTCTTCCTGCTCAGGTATGTTTTCATTTTTCGTAACACTTTCCTTTTTGTTGTTTCATTATTTTTTCTATTTCAAATGTACCTTGATTGTCCTCTTCCTTTGTCTTTATTGTCACGTTCCTTCTCCCCTCTTCCTTCTCTTGGGCAGAACTGGAAAGAGCGGGCATACTGGGGCAAAAGAAGAAACAAGACCAGTGAAGAGAAAAGAGTACAAAGGAAGCAGAGAAGGAAGAAACACATGCAAAACGCTAAAGAAGAAAGATTGGAAGAGAAAAATTAACAGGAGCAGGGAGAGGAGAAACGAAAAAAGAAAAGGACTAGTTTGGAATTGGTAAAGAGAAACAGGCAAGAGGAAGTAGAAGCAGAAAAAAAAAACGTGCAGGCGGGCAAGGAAGAAAGCACATTACTGAATAGCGTGAAGATGGCCGAGAACGGAGAAAAGGGAAAGGGAAAAAACTAGACTATTAAACTAGACAAAAACAGATTAAGTTAAACCAAACTAGACTAAACTAGACTATAAACCTAGACTAAATTAGATTAAACTAGACTAGACCAAATCGGACTAAACTAGACTTATTTTGCTAAACTAGACTACTGTAAATTATCCCAACTTGGACTAAAGTAGGCTAATGTAAACTACACAAGACTAAAGTAGAGTAAAGAAGATTAAAGTAAGTGAAATCAGACTAAACGAGCCTAGTATAGTTTCAAGTAGATTCGATTAAACGAAGCTGGACCAAACTAGACTAAATTACATTAAAGTAGACTGAACTACACTAACTAGATTAAACTAGGCCTTAAACTAGACTAAATTAGATTAAGCTAGACTAAACTACACTAAGCTAGATCAACCTAAATTAGATTGAAACAGATGAAACCAGATCAAGCTAAGACAAAACACGATTGAACTAAACTGAAAGATTCTAAAGTAGATTCAGGTGGACTAAAACCGACTAAATTAAAAACTAAACTAGATCGAAGCAAACTAAAGTAAACTAAAATACACTAAATTGGACTAAACTAGTTTAAAGTAGATTAAGCTGAACTAAACTAGACTAAACAAGAATTAGATTAAATTAGTTCAAATTTACACAAAACTAGACAAAACTAGGCTAAGCTGGGCTAAACGAGACTAAACTACACTAAATTCGATTAAGCTGGACTAAGATAGATTGAATTAAACAAAATTACATTCGATTAGATTAAACTAGATTAAATCATGCTAAACTTGACTCAATTCGGCTAAGCTGAACTAAATTGGATTGATTTTGGACTAAAGTAAATTAGATATATAACTAGCAAAAGATTTTTAATTAAATTATATCAGAGTAAATTAGGCTGAACTAGGTTAAACTAGATTCAATTAGGCTAAAATAGATTCAACTAGCCTAAACTACACTAAAGTATATTAAATTAGACTAAACAAGACTAAACTAGACTAAAATTGACTAAGCTAGACCAGACTAAATTCGATTAAAATTAGGCCAAACTGGATTAAGCTAGACTAGATTAAACTTGATTAAACTAGATTAAACGAGGTTGAGCTGGACTAAACAATATAAAGCTAGGCTAAATTGCACTAAAGTAGACTAAGGTAGATTAAATTGGACTAAACTAGATCAAACTAGATTAGATTAGATTAGATTAGATTAAACTGGACTAAACTAGACTAAACCAGATTAAACTAGACTAAGCAAAATCACCTAGATCTAAATCTACACCTGAACTAAATTCAACTAAGCTGAATTACACAAAATTAAACTAAGCTAAACTAGAATCAACAAGGCTAAACTATACTAAATCAGGCTAAAGTAGAATAAACTGGGCTAAACCACACTAAACTAGACTCAAGTAGGCTAAAGGCTAAAGTAGCCTAAAGTAGACTGAAGTAGACTAAACTGGGCTAAACTAGACTAAAATAGGGTAAAGTAGACTAAACTACGCTAAACTGGACTAAACTAACTTAGGCTAAACTAGACTAAACAAAAGACCAGACTAGACTACACTGGGCAAAGCTGGGCTAAACTACTAAAATAGCTAAACTAAACAAAACAAAACTGACCCACGCCAACTTAACAAGACTAAGCAATATTAAAGTACACTAAACTAGGCTAATACTGACCAGGTATAATAGTAAGAAAGGCTAAATAAAGTAGACTAAACTACGCTAAACTAAACTAGATTGAAAGTTGACGAAACCAAACCATCCTAGATTAAATTGAGCTAAACTAGATGAATGAAAGTAAAGTAGCCTAAATTAGACTCAATTCGTTTATTTAAGTTTAGTCTACTTTAGTCTTTTTTGAGTCTACTGTCGTGTAGTATAGTCTAGTTTGTTCCAGTTTGACCTAGTTTAATCCATTTTATCCCAGTTTTTAATACAATTTAGTCCAGTTTAATCTAGTTGAATCTAGTTTGACGACTTTAATGTACTTTAGTTCTCTTTACTCCACTTTGGCCAAATTTAGTTCAATCTAATATATGTTAATCTAGTTTAGTCTAGGTTAGTCATGTGTAGTCTAGTTTAACCGAGTTTACTTTACATTAGTCTAGTTCAATTTAGTTTAGCCAAGTTTAGTCTAATTGAGCCTAATTTAGCTTAGTTTAATCTAGTTTGCTCTAATTTGGTGTCATTTATTGTCATGTAGTTTTAGATTTACATAAACATCAAAATTTAGATATAGCACTGTAGCTAGTCTAGTTTAACCAAGATAAATTTGGCTCAGTCCAGCTTAATCCAGTTTAGTCTATTTCAGTCTAGTTTAGCCTATCTTTGTCTACGTTGGTCTACTAGAAGTCTAGTTTATCCCACTTAAGTCTACTTCAGTCTACTTAAGTAGCCTAACTGTAGCCTACTTTAGTCTACTTTTAGTCTAGTTTAGTCTAGTTTAGCCCACTTTAGTCTACTTTAGGCTACTTTGGTCTACTGTAGTCTACTTTAATCTACTTCAGTGTAATTTAGCTTAGTTTAGTCTAGTTGAGTCTAGTAGAGTCTAGTTTAATCCAGTTTAGTCTAGTTTTGTCTAGTAGTCTAGTTTGAGTCTAGTTTAGTCTAATTTAGTGGAAACAAAAGGGATGAAAAAGTTAAACGACCAAAGTTCAAAGGAGAAGAAAAAGGGAAACAAAAAGGAATAACATTACATGCTTCTATGGCAAGGAACGAAATAGACCCCAAAGGTCCCTGCCACACACACACACACATATATATATATATCTATCTATCTATCTATCTATCCATCTATCTATCTATCTATCTATCTATCTACACGTACATGTTCGTGCGTACTTTCTGATTTTACGTGCCAGCTTGAACTCGATCCCTCTTCCACAGAACTACTGTGGGCGAGATTCTGTATGATTACTACTAGTATAATGTGGAAGATCCGAAAGAAACTATACAGTAGCATACCCAATTTACCAAGTCAACCCAGCTTTGCGTTCAGTAAACACGACGTACCACTCCCAGACCCAGAGATTGAAACCCAACAGTCATTGTAGTTTCGAGTTTTCCTATCTAGGGCGTACCAAAACCATACCCAAAAAGAGCTGTATGGCATTGACATTGGGCTTGCCCCACTATCCGCATATTTTGTCGCTGGATCCGAACATATGCCAACGCTATCAAACCTGTTCGTACCATTGGCGGGACGAGTTCACGGGCTGCTTTCACTTGGGCTTGCACGCGCAACTGATGCTTCAGTGGAGAGGGTCGTTATGGGGGGATGATAATGCTGGCTGCATCACCATACATGCCTTATTTGTTTTCATCTTGTGGGTCGTGGAGTTGACCAACAAAACGACAGTGGACAGATCCATCTAGATCCGGTCTCATTTCGTCCTCATTTATATAGATAGGGCACAGCGCCTTTACATCGGGCACCGCAGGTTGGCTAAGTACCCACAATAATATTTTTGGGAGGCTAGGTCAAACCCTATTATTGGCTTTACAGCAGAATATCTATGGATATTGATCGAAGGAGGTTTAGAAGTCAAACTTCCGACAATATGGAGAGATGAAAAAGCAGTCAGCAGGGAGAAGAGTCAGAAGAGAAAAGACCAGAAGAAAGAAGATGCAGGTGCGCGAAAAGGTAGGAGAGTCGCGAAACATTGTGTTTTTTCGTGGTTTTGTGGCTCCGGAGGGTCGAAAAGTAGGCTGGCTAAAGCGGCGGGTGCGGAGACATCTGGGGAGATGAGAGATGAAAAGTTGCACGCCATTGTGGCGCGAAGCCGATTTCGAAGTGAAAAGGTACAAAACACCTCAGCGCCAAACCACTTTTGGAAGTTGAGATGTTGAAAAAGTGCATGACGTTGTGGCGCGAAGCACATTTGGAAGTAAAATGTATTAAAAACTGAGGGGTTCGGAGCAGTTTTGGAAGTTGAGATGACGAAAAAGTGCACGGCGTTGTGGCGCGAAGCACATTTGGACGTAAAAAGTGTTAAAAACTGTCGGTCTCGGAGCACTTTTGGACGTTGAGATGTCGAAAAAGTGTACGGCGTTGTGGCGCGAAGCACATTTGGAAGTAAAAAGTGTTAAAAACTGGCGGTCTCGGAACACTTTTGGAAAATGAGATGTCGAAAAAGTGCACGGCGTTGGGTCTCAGAGACATTTTGGACGTTCAGACATCGTTTTGTGTGGCAGGTGGAGTGGATTGTGCATCCACTGAAAAGTGACTAAAACGTGAGGGTTTTGTAGCATTTTCAAAAATGATGGCAAGCGTGGGAGATTTGAAGAGGATCTGCACAGATGCATTTTTCGTGGCAGGCGCAGTACAAGAGGCATCTTCAGCAGAGATGTTCGGAGCTCAAGGAGCTGATTTCCTGAGAGGGGTTGCATTTTGGCGTATCAAATCATCAGCTATGCCAAGATGCTTTTTCGTGACAGGTGCAGCATTTCGTATGACCTGGACTAACTTTTTCGTCCCAGGCGCAGTACTTTAGAGACATGGCATGGAAAAATCGCAAAACGCATTGGTACGAGGCCGTCAGCTGTACAGTCAACTTTCCATTTTTGAAGGAAGTCTCGCAGAATTGCTTCGTTTTTGATGTTTTCAACTGCAAAAAGTGAGAAAGTCTCGCAGAATTGCTTCGTTTTTGATGTTGCCAACAGAAGTCTAGCAGCATTGTTTTGTTGTCGACGTGGCGGCTAGACAGATTGATCGACAGGTCAAGAGGTAGATCGATAGATAGACGGGTAAATAGATCGATAGATAGATAGACAGATCGATGCATCGCAAGATCCATAAATACATCGAGAGATAAATCGAAAGATGGGTGGCTAGATAGAGAGACAGATCGATCAATAGACAGGTAGATGGATCGACAGATGGACACATAGATGGCTAGATCGAAAGATCGCTAGAAGCGTCGATGACCAGATAAACGCATGGGTAGCTAGATAGATGGATGGATAGCTGGAAGGAGAGGTAGACGGACAGATGCATGGATGAATCGATAGGGAAACAGAACGAAGAACATGGTGATGGATAGCTGTGGACATGGATCGATGAAGAGATGGAGGAAAAAAAAACTAACAGAGAGAAGTAAGTGGATGGATGAATGGCTGGATAGACAGAAAGATAGACACCCTAATAGATAGGTGAATAAACAAATCGATCGATAGATACATGAATAGACAGGTAGATAGGTAGATGGCTAGAAAGGTAGCTCTGTAGATAGATGGCGAAAGAGAGACACAGAGAGAAAGAGAGAAAGAGAGACAGAAAGGGAGAAACACTCAACCACCTTTCAATCCATCAGTGGGTTCGCTCTGCCATTTTTGCGTCACACCAACTCACCTCTCCTATAGGTTCTCCATTTTTGAAGCTTCCGCCACCGCCTTGTGCGGTACTACTGGTATACATAATGAACCAGATTTCAGGCAAGATCACTACAAGAACTGGCCCGGCGGGGCACCAAAGACAACATGATGATATCTAACTGGTCATATAAGCACAGCGCTCAACAAAGTCAAATTATAGTTCTTGCGTTGATAATTGTAATAATTGGAATGTTTGAGATGCTGTTTGGTTCAATCGCCAGATCTTGGCATCATTCCTATTCCAATTTTCAATGGAAAGGGATGTGTTACGGCCTATCATTCACCTCAAAATCTGTGGAGTACAGCTAACAGCTAAGCAGAATTTTAAAGAAAAACTCAATTGAGCCATGAAAAATACCCCTATCTCATCCTTTTATCCTGGTTGGCAAATGGATATCCCCAAGCCCGATTACTCAGAGGTATTTTCAATGGCTCAACTCGTGCTCTTACGCAGAGTTGCAGCATGGCCATCAAGAAGAGACTCGCAGAGGAGGATGGAATCAAAGGGGCAAGTACGATGAGCACATTTCGGATCAGGAACAACACTGTGAAGACTTCCTGTCTGAGAAAAAATAGACCCTCCCACTTTTGCAATCCCCAACATAGAAACCACGTGGAATCTGCACAACTATCCGTCGACCCAAACTGTTCACAAGGCACAATAAGGGCATGACTCATGACAAGAAGTCTGTTGCACAAGTTTCCATACAAAAGAACTTTGGCCAACAAGTCTCCTTCCCTGGGTGGAAGCGCATGACCAAGAATGAGCATGCACGGATAAAGGCAATATCTGCCACTCGCACCCTCTTGGGCAACTCCACCAAAATGATCCAGCACGACAATGCAAGATAGGTAATGGGCAACAGGCAAACCAAGCCGCCAATGAGACAAAGGATGAAATGTGTCCCTGTGAAACCACACAGGACACTGTGAGAGCTCTGCAAAGTTCTCAAGCCACTGGGATGCCTGTTGCACCGAAAGGGCTCCAAAAATGACGAGCAAAGGGAGATAAAGAAAATCAGGGAGAACAATCCCAATGTCTTCCATAAGAGGTGAAGCCCAAAGCTCTTGGCTTTCCCTGCCCTGCGCATCATGTAGACCACATTGAAATGGGCCAAAATAGGACCTATAGTGAAGAAGAGGGGCACGATCAAAGATCCAATCAGATACTCTACCTCTGGAGTGACCCTCGCCACACAATTGATAGCATCCACTGAGCTCAGAATCGCATCCAAGGATATGAAGCTGAAAATGTCCAAGAGAACTTGAAACGGATCCTTGACAAATTCACGGAGTAGTATAGTCAAAATAAGCCCACAGTAAGTCATCTAGCAAATTCAGCAGATTTAAACCATTTCAGAATTTCAGACTCTTGATTCTTTGGTCTGGCAAGAACAACCACACTTACCCTACTGACAACAACTGTTTTGCCGCCCATGCTCCGCCCAATTGATCTGGAGTTGCTGCATGATGGAGAAAAGTTGTGCACAAGTGATCAAGTGACCAAGACTGAGAGCGGCAGTGAAAAGGCTACTCCGCTGATTGGCACTTGCCTGATCTGTGACCACAAGAAATATATGGACGCCTCCAGTGCAGACAACAATCAAGGTGCAGAGAACAACCAGCAACACATAGTCCGTGCTGGAACATGCAACGCAGGTTCCCCCGTCCGGTCGCATGCCCCCCAAACAGGCACCACACGCCACACTTTCTGGATCACGACCACTTGCGCAAGTTCCAGGCATCCCCCCAGGACAGCGTTCTTTGGAGCCGAAGCATTCAAAAATCTCGCCGGGCTCCTCTGCAAATGAGAAGAAACCGGGTAACAGCTCCAACTTACTGGACCCTGGGCACTTAGATCCTTCGATGCACAGCTCGCACTCGCCCCGATGCAAATGATATCCCTGCATGCAGTGACAGAAGCTCGGGGAATAGGCTCCTTCTATTTCAATCCAGGTCTCAACTTCAAGGCCGCGGTCAACTACTCGGCTAGTGGTCCACATGGTGCCATTGCTACAAGTTTCACACATCATCATCCCTGTGGATGTGGCGTATGTTCCAAACTCACACGCAGTGCACAATTCAAGGCCTGTTGGGACGAGCAAAATAAAGAAAAAAAGGCCAAGGGGCCAATGGCAAACAAGTGATCAGCAAAAAAGTAAATTCGGCAAAACACAGGAAGGTCTCCAAACTCCAAATACCAAACTGATTGGTTCGCAAGAAAAAAATATCATCCCCCAATTTGCCTGGTTCAGGAGCAATGTATCCTGGATTGCATAGCAGGCAATCGCTCTTGCCGGGGATATTCTGGTGACTCCCTGCAGGACATGGAACGCAGCGGTACGTCTCACCAAAGTCGTCCACGAGCCTTTCAGAGAAGCTTCCGGCTGGGCACAGGAGACAACCAGTGGCCCCATCACGTGCAGATGCAGGGGAACCATCGGCAGCCTGCAGACCAAATCCGGGTTCACAGTTGGTTTCCACCGGGATCCATTGTCTCCATCTGCCTGTGTTGGCAATGACCCAGTTGCAAACGGTATCAAAGGTTGATCTTCCATTGGCCACCTCAAGCAAGAGCTGCTTGATTTCGCCCAGCTCTAGTTTCATGTTTTGAAGAAAGAGCCTTACCGAAGGAGCAGATGCCCGAACTTCAGGACTGACGAGCTTAGTGATGTAGTTCTGGCTTCCAGCAGTGCGCAGGTTTCCTTGAGACCACTCAATGGGGCTGTGGGGTGGCAGCACAATATAGGAGGGATCTAGCTGGAGAAAGGTAGCATCAGGCATCCACCAGTAGAACAAGGACCGAGTATTCATCACATTGGAGACGAAAATGTCCCAGCTTGCTGCGATGCCAATTGCAACTGGGAAGCCGTAGACGGTTGACCTCAACACAGCCGCAGGTGCGTCAGGTGTTTCCTGAAACCACACAGTTTTCACACATCGTGATCATGTTCAAAGTCAAACATTATTCTACAGTTCATTTTTTTTAGAGTTGTGTAAGTCAATTTCCAAAGCGATTCCCAAAAGAATTGTATATATTATATTACAATATATATATATTATTATATTATATTATATTAAATTATATTATATTATATTATATTATACTATATTATATTATATTATAATATAATATATTATATTGTATTATATTATAGTATATTATATTATATCTATGTTATATTATATTGTATTATATTATACTATATTACATTATATTACATTAATTATATTATATTATATTATATTAAATCATATTATATTAAATTATATTATATTATATTATAGTATAGTATATTGATTATATTAATTATAATCTATTAATTAGATGAATTATATTATATGATATTATATTATATTATATTTTAATTCTATTCTATTATATTAAATTATATTATATTTTATTTTATTATATTTTATATTATATTATATTATATGATATTATATTATATTATATTACATTATATTATAATATATCATATCATATCATATTATATTATATTATATTACATTAATTGTATTATATTATATTATATTATATTATATTATATTATAATTTTCTTTTTATATTATATTATATTATATTATATTGTATTCTATTCTATTCTATTATATTATATTATATTATAATATATTACATTATATTATATTATATTATATCATATGATATTATATTATATTATATTATATTATATTATATTATATATGTATTATATATTATATCTAATATATATATACATACTTATATACTTCCCGCGTCCCAATGTGTGCCAAGCTACCACTGCATCATTGCATCCACAATCCAACCATTTCCAGCAGCCAGGAGTGGAATGCATTCGCTTGAGTTGTGCCTGCAACTAGGCGCCAGCCAAAAGCGGCCATTGGGACATCGAGCCATATACGTTCCACCTGGGAGCTGCGTCACACCACCCAAGTCTCCCGTCCAACGGATGTAGTCACTCATCCGTAAGGCATTGGAAAATTCCAAACCATCAGCATCGCAGAGGAAAAAGTCCTCTGGATCCAAATCCTCTAAGTGGCCAAAGTACTTTTGCGGCTTGTGGAAAGTGGTGTTGAAACTTTTGTAGAAGTCCAGTGCCAGGCCTGAATCCTGATAAGCTATGTCACGAATGGATCCCTTGACGAAGAGATTATGATCCCCATTGTAGCCCATACTGCCCAGATCTTCAGGAGCCTTTGCAGCATTGCCTTGGTTGATCTGAAAATGGCCAATAAAATGGCCAAGCTAATGCATTCCCCTTCAATTTATGGTGGTTTTATGGTGGTTTTATTGTGGTTTTATGGTGGTTTATGGGCAAACTCGTGTTTTCCCCTTCAATTTTATGGATTTGGTTGAAAATGAGGCGCCAAAAATGTGTGGTTGATCATCAGTTTTGCATTGAAATTGGTCAATTTTGAGTATCCTCTGTTTTGGTAGCAAATTCCAAAGAAATTGCCCATAGAATTACTATGTCCAGAGGGCCGATGTGAAAAAAATGTGATCAACATGTGGGTCTGTCTTAAAATTGGGTATACCCCTCAAAGTTGATGGTTCATCTTTATATTTCTCATGTGCCCCATTGAAAAGTCATAAGCTGGGTTATGCCGATTTATGCCCTAGTTTCAGACACAACCATGGGTCTCCAAGTTGCTTTCCTGAAAGTTCTGAAACAGTGTAATGGCTTCCGCCAACCAGGTTTCAACTGCCACATGGCTATTCACCTGACTTTGCGAACAATCTGCAGAGGTACATCCAGCTAATTTCAGAATGCCATCAAAAATGCTGACTGTTTTGGTTGCATCTTGGACTACATGATATCCAAGCACTTCTCCGATCAAAATTTCAACCAAAGTTGAGGCCACATCTGCTGAAGCCCAATCATAGACGACCAAACGAATTGGTGTAGGAGTGCTTTCTCCCTTCAGAGAAGAATTTTCGAACAGGTAATGTCGCTGAGACTCGGGAATCCTGTCCCGGAGGCATGAATTTGCTCTGGAGAAAGACCACAAACCCGCAAAGATTGCAAGAGCCCACAGTGAACTATTGGACATGTCAATCCTTTAGCTGCAGTTTGCCAAACTGCAAAAACATTCATGGTTTGAGCAAAATTTTCCGGACACGTCGCAAAACATTCATCGCTGATTTCTCAAATTCTGTGGCAATTTTTTCACTGGATCAGAGCAGCAAAGGCCACATTGAATGACGATCAATTCCTACTGGTTAAACCTTCTTATTTTGGAACCATGAATCACATGTTGTATCGAAAATGTCATTCCAACAGTTCGAACTTCGAGTTCAAGAAAATGTCAGTCCGAGAAAGAAATACGATTTGCACGGTGACATATGTGCGACACCCAACCATTCCATTGAAGTAAAACTCAAAGTAACCCTTCCAACAATTGCCTTCCATCATGCAATTTGATAAACTTTCAATCGAACGAAGGTTCATACAAGCGTTGACTAAGTGGCAACAGAGCAGGCAACGGAAATTTTCACATGCGCATGTGCATAAACATCCCCACAAACATTCCACTGGTTTCTATGAAAATGCCGTTGGCGCTGCAGTGCAGTAGCCGTTGTGCATGGCAACGAACCTCAAAAAAAATGTTGATTGTTGATCCCCATCAGAATTAAAGTATGACGAAGGGCAACCCATTTGCTGAGGTAACTAGCAAAAACGTCTACAAAATGGCGGCCATAGCTTCTAGAAAAAGGGTTAAGGGGGTGCTGGGCCCAAAACACTGTCTGGATCACAAGAATCATGTTTGAACAGCATCTAAATCTAGTAAGATCACGTTGCATCTGGAACTACAGTATTTTTCCACAAAATGAAGCAATTGTGGGTGTCTACAAAATGAAAAGTGAGACGCTGGAGAAGTGAACATGAAGAAAGTGCCAGAAATGGCTCAAAAAATAACGCCCTGGAAAGTGCAGGAAGCAGAGTAATTGTAGGCGTCGTGCATGTCAAGATTGCAGTATTGCCACAAAAAAGGTAGCACGACTATTTTCACTGTGCAATATTTTTTTGTCAAAGGGCATCAGTTAGTTTTTAAAAGGTACCGTATGAAACCTGAGACTAGTGTAACATTCAAGTGACAAAAATGCGACCACTATGATGACAAACATGGCACTCTTGGAGTGACGAGGGTGCAAAAAGAGACAAGGATGAGGAAACCAACAGCAAGAGGAGCAAAGCAGGCAGCCCGAACCCGCACTCCCCCCGGCCAGGAGTGCGGAGACGAGACGGAGACGAGAGGCCACACAAACAAAAAGCACTCATCCCGGTCAAGGAGGAATATGCACAATTGTGCTAAAGCCACGTAAGGTGAAACCAGTGCACTCAGAATGGCTGTAGGAGGCATCGGCATGCAGCGCCCTTATCGGCATCCAGCAGCGTCCGCAAGCAGCTGCACACTGACACAGCGTGAGGCACAACAGCAAGGTGCGGAAGAATCCTTAGTAATCCTGAGTGGTCCTTAGTCGACACATGCCTCTACACACAGGTGGCCATAAAGGCCGCCCCTGTGTCAGAGAGATTGGGGCCTTGGTTGTGAACGAGGCGCTGTTTGGAGCAGGCCCCGTGGAGCCCACGCTGGAGGTCAATTGAAAGTCTGACAGACAGTTCATGCCATGTGGACGCACCTGGGCGTTGCTCTTTGCGGTCGACGAGGGCAGACAGGTTCGCAGCAGGCGATCGGTTTCATCGGTCATTCCCCAAGTACTTTCCAAGATAAGGGGTAAGTTCAAACCCCAAGTTTTGTCGTTCACAGCGCGTTTTCATGTCGGAATGTTTTCGTTTCAGGTCAGCATACCGGTCGGCAGCAGCGAGAGCCCGCAGGGTAGCACTTTGGAATCGGGAAGCGATAGCACAATCCAACGCGAGTTTGGGGAAGCGACGCCAGGACGACTGGTGGACATCGGGCAGGCTGACAATGAGCACATCCGCGGGACGGGTGAGAGGGGTGGCGGGGAGGAGGTTATCGGGTTCCAAGGCGGGGCGGGCACCAGGTCAGGCAGCAAGACGATACACCACATTCCAAAAAGTGGTATACATTTGCTGTTTATGTTTTTGACTCATGCACCCCATGCAATGGTGTCCCTGCGAATCCAGGTTTTGCTGGCAAAAAGAACAAGCCAACCCATCGTCAAAAACTTTGACCCCCAACCGCATAGAAAGTATGTCATGCAATGCAGCGTTGGAGAGGAAAGTATCTTGACTCCAGGATGGCGGTGTCTTCAGCCAAGCATCTGCCAGTGGCGCCGAGTAATTACGCGGTCAAGCGAGCCCGACCACTGAGGTCATGTTGGTTCATCAACCCTAAGTACACCTGTTGGTGGATTCGCCCTAAGACACCCCGATGGTCGATTTGGCTTTGGGGGTCACAAAAACTTGGGGCCAACACCGGGAGGCATGCCGCTAAGTGTTGGATGGCCGGTTCCTCACAAGCATGGGAAGTAGAAGACCATATCCCCGGAAGTAATTCTTGGATGTGGGACGCGCATCTTCGGTGCGAAACAAGAAACCCCAAATCGGCCAGGGAAACCACCTCCAATCCTATTTCCGTTCGGGGAGCCAGTAAACCGATCCCCCCATATTTCGTAGGTAACTTGGCTTGGGTCCATTGATGGCTATTGAGGGGGACGCCGACCATGTGTTCACACGCCAGCTTCTGCCTGTCGTGGAACCTTTGGAGAAGTGGAGCTATGTGGGCTCTAGGGGTTGTACGGCACCACCACTGCAACTTGGAGAAGGTGCCCCCTTGACTGAACAGGTAAAAAGCAACATGGACATGGGGCAATGATTCCAGGGTTGAACACAAGGCGTCGAAGTCGGAAATTGTTTGTTTGTGGAAACTGTGCAAAAATTCCGGGTTATCTCCAATGGGAACCTTTAACATGGTGATGTCAGTCCCCGAAACCACGTTCACCCCAAGAGCCTGAAAGCGGGAAACATCCCCCCGAAACTGGTCGCCGGCAAGAAGGTACAGGGTACATTTGGCTGGGTCAACATGCAAACCATATTTTTGTGCCAGTTGCAATTCCTGCCGGAACGCTGCATAGACATCATCGATGTGTCCCCCCGAGAAGGCATCGTCGGCAAAGGCAGGCTCGAATTCGGGCGCCGGTCGAGAGCTCAACCTTCTGGCCTCTTCAGTCATGCGGTGTCGCGTTAAACAAAACAATGGCCCCATAAGGAGACATCCTTGCTGCTCCCGGCTGCATGTTTCAACCTCTCCCTGGTAAACCAAGTTGGTAGGCCTCCCGTAACAGTAAGCACCAAATCGGGCGGACGCGGGGGCATGCTGTTGGGCATCGCGGAGAAATTCGTGGGGGGAGAAGTTCCTTGAACGCATTCCTGGTGTCTTTTTGGAGCAAAACAAACTGGTCATTCGCGCCTCTATGTTTTAACACCCATTTCACCTCCACACGAAACCCCCACCGCTAACTGAGATGGCATGAGACGTGTTCGGATGCTAGGTTTATCCATTGCTAAAGTGCGCTTGAACACCACTTTCCGCCAAGTCAAGCCCATGACAATCGGCCGAGCATCTTGGTCTAGGGGGATGGGGGCGCCCTGCTGGTCCACTTTGCCTATCCCGATAAGTTGCCCGCCACCTAGCCAGGGTCGCAAGTAAGTGGGGGCCAGCCCGTCAGCCAACAGTTGAACGAAGTCTCGGTACAAAGGCAAGATTCCCTCATCTTCCTCATGTCCCATTAAAGCTTTAAGGAGGTCAGCCCGTAAGCCACCCGGGCCCGGCCCAACCCCAACATGAAAAGAACGAATGGCTTTGGCCACATCTTCAACGGGGATAAGGGAGGGCGGTGGCATCTGCAGTCCCTCAGTATAGTGGGGGCTTGGGTTGGCAATGGGGGAAACTTAGCCAGCAATTTTTGTTTGACCTGCGGGGTGTTTTGGGCCAGCCCGGGGGATTGCAATCGATGAATTGCTTGGGATGGCTGCCCGAGCGCGGCCAGCCGTTCGGCCTCAGCAACGTTCCTTTTGTGGACCTCAATGTTGGGTTGCTTGCCTGGTTGCCGGTGTTGTTTGGGATTGGTAGCTTGCACCGCTTCAGACCACAGGCCCCCCCGCTCGCCCAACCGCCACCGAACCAAGAGACTTTTCGTGAAGTGGTAGGCCTGCTGTGGTCGCTGCCCACGGCCAAACTGTCGGAGCATGCATTTGAGGAACATGAGAAGGTGGATCCACGCTGTCGGGGCGGCTCGGTGTTCCGCGCTGTCTACCCCTCCAGGGGCAAGGGGGTCCCACGCATCGGCCCGTGAAGTTTGAAGGACGGCCGCCAGCAGCTTGCCATACTCAGACTTGACCAAAGGCAAGAGGGATACGGATGGGGGTGCAAAAAATCGCAATTAAGTCTGGGAGGTCGCCAATGGGAAGGTTGAGGGGGGCATGGGAGTTCTGGGACCCGTGTCGTGTTGAGCGTGGCATTTGCGGTGGATTTGCCCCTGGACGCGTTTGCTAAGGGTAAGGCCGCACACCTTACAACAAGATAGCCTATGGACTTGGAACCACGTGTCTTCCGGCCGTCCTGGGAGTTCCCCCGAAAGGTGCTGGTCGACATGTGCCCGCAAACTTCCAAATGCTCCCCACCCGGTCGGTTACCCCCTGCGTGCCGGCAGCACCCCAGAACAAGGCAACCAAAAGACTGCTGTACCAACTGCGAAATCCAGATCAAAAGTTGTTTCAGACAACGTCCTACGCAACAATCAATGATTCCGACCTATCGTGTAGCTAGTTAGTACCATAAGTGGTTGATTTAACCAATCCAAACACAAACCAGAGGCAAGAAACCAACAAACTCAGACTTACCCCTTTTCACCTGCCGACAGTGGCATGATGCCGGGGTGTTTTGTCATCATCGAGGAGAAACCCCAAACGGGATAATAAAGAATCAACCACCCATAGCACCTTAGCACCAAAGGCGATGTTGTTGGCTAACAACATCGACAAAATTGGTTGCACCAAAACTTGCCGTTTCCATATCATGCAATGATGATACTGAGTGAAATCTTTACAGCATGATTTGACGAACAACTTCGTGATGTCAAATCATCTCCAAACGGTCCAAAAGTGTTTGAAATACTTCTCAACTGTTCCGAACGTTTCCGAAATTATTGTTTCACTACTTGTAAACGTACAACGCCAGGGCCTCCTCAGAGTTTGTCGACGCGCCAGGGTTTTGATTGCGTGTTAAACGTCAGGGGCAAGCGTGTTTTTTTGTTTGAAGACGTCGACGTATTCGCCACGAAGTAAAGCAACTCACAAACAACATCACAAGTGAACATGTCACGAGAATCACGAATGTCAAAGACTGGATTGATGAGAGGTTCAAAAGCTGCCACACCTTTTTTGAACAACGCTTTGGGGATGGTAGCGACGAGGTTTGAAAGAATCATCGATTGCTGGTTGGCTTCCAGCACAAACAGCAAAATAGAGGAAACAAGGGTGGGAGTGAAGACGGGGAGGGTGTTTTGTTTCCTCGCTGAAAATTGAGGACCCTCCCACCCACACCTTGAATGGAAAGTCACGGACTTGAAATGAATTAACATGATCCACAGAGAAAACAACTGAGACTGACATCAGTTGAATTTCAGATCTAAGATTTCACAACTGAAAGTGAAAAACAGGATCAAGAAAGCTCACACTGAAATAAAAACAATAGACTGCCAAATGAAACTGACAAGACACACACTGGCAAAAGTTCACCACAGGGTTTCACAGGAGTTGTTTTGCATCACAGGCAAGAGAGACCCCAAACATAAAACACCACTGCGAAAACACGCGTGGAAAACGCTGGACGAAACACGCGAAACCCAACGCGGTTAAGAGAGAGCGCACACGGGCGTTGCACAAGTTTGCACATTACCATGTGCAAACAAATTACAAGGTAGCTATCCAATAAGGCAACCATCTTTTTCAAAGAGGTTCAGCTTATTGTTTCACTACTTGTAAACGTACAAGGCCAGGGCCTACCCAGAGTTTGTCGACGCGCCAGGGTTTTGATTGCGTGTTAAACGTCAGGGGCAAGCGTGTTTTTTGTTTGAAGACGTCGACGTATTCGCCACGAAGTAAAGCAACTCACAAACAACATCACAAGTGAACATGTCACGAGAATCACGAATGTCAAAGACTGGATTGATGAGAGGTTCAAAAGCTGCCACACCTTTTTTGAACAACGCTTTGGGGATGGTAGCGACGAGGTTTGAAAGAATCATCGATTGCTGGTTGGCTTCCAGCACACCCCGTGCCTACCCCCATTGTTCAAGGTGGGCTGGAGCCACGACACTGATGCGTCTGCATGCTTTCAACAAAGGGTCACTGAAGCACAGCCTTGAAGGGGCATCTGCTGAGTTGCTGTGGCTCGGTACTCTGCCGAACCAACTGAGGATTCGGAACCTTGATTCCAGTTTGACAAATAATTCAAAAAGCATTCTGCGGGTAGCCCGGTTGGCCCCGTCACCTTTGATGCATGCGGATCGTGCTGCAGTGTTGTCCAAGTAGAAAACTGTAGGTGATCCGGATATGTACTTGGTCCAGATCTTGCAGGCCATGACTACCGGCAGGACTTCCATTTCGTAAATTGGGTGTTGAGACTCATGAAGAAATTCATCTAAAAGAGTGGCTGGAGCCTGCTCACCAAACATTTCAATGGGCGTTCCGCTGGGCGCCACCAGCACAGCTCCAAAAGTAGCAGGCTGTTTGCTGCCAGGCTCGTAAGCGCCGTCAGTGAAGATAATCCATGTATGACACAGTGACCGGCTAATGGCTGCCGGTTTCGAGTCTTGTACGGCGGCCATCAAACGGTGCAAGACGTCAAGGAAACCTTCGTTGAAGGTAAGCAGCTTGCCACGAACCCGGGCCATGTTGGAGACCTCTTTAACAAGCCGATTCAGCATGCGTCCATAGATGAAAGAACCAAACCATATGAGACCGCCATGCAGTCTCTCTAGCTCCTTTGGCGCGGCACCGCCCCGCTTGATAAGATCCTGAAGGGTCTCCACGAGCTCGCATCTTCGACTCTCAGCGTGTTCTAAAGTGAAGCTACCACCTTGTAAGCTTGACACATCGAAAAGAACTCCAAGTGTCTTGAACCTTGGTGTGAAAGGCACCGCTTTGTCGCCAGAGTCTGCAAAGTCCACTCCAAGCAAACGGAATAGGCTCTCAATATAAAAGGACACGTTCTTTTCCTCTTCAGAGCAGCAAATACAGGTGAAAATCATCAAAAAAGCTCGTCCACGCCAACAGCAGGGCGGTAACGCCGATGAAAGTCAGACTGGCCGAAATCCTCAAAAAATGAACCACCGATCCAGAGGCCCCAAATGGCAACGCAAGGGCGCTGAAGACTCCGTAGCCACCAGCTGGTTTTTTAACTGCAATCCTCAAGCGGTCTGCATGCCAGGGGTCAGTACCGAATTGCTTGTATGCCGACCGAAGGTCGTATGTTCGACCCACAAGGCCAGGCAGGTCTGCATGGGATGTGTCGTCAAGCATGGACGCCAAATAGGCGCACAACTCATCCACCGCTTGGACCCTCAGTTTTTCACGCAAGCCAAATGCTGCATTCACACCGGCGACCGAAAAGTCGTCGACCAGTCGTATCTTGGACTTCTGGGGAACAGGAAATCTTCGGGCGATGAAACACTCGCCAAACTCATCGCTTTCGCCCAGCCATGGGTCTCATCCCAAACAAATTGATCATGTTCTCCAGGCTCCGTCCGCAAAATGGATTCCAAAACTGAAGCGTTCAACCCAGGGGACATGTTTACGAGCTGCTTGACACTCAAGGATGGCTTCCGCACGTCTGGCCGAAAAATTCCAGTGGTCGGCGCCCAACCAGTCAACGCAAAACCAGAAACCATGTCATCAACCACTGACGCATCTGGGTATCCCAGATCCAAAAGGATCTCTTTCCAAAGCAGAAGTCGTTTGCCCCCAAATATTTTCTTGAGGTGGTCGGGCAACCCTTCATGGAGGGCTTTTTCCTCCTCACGTAACTCCAGGGACCGACGCAGCCATCTTTTCATGAAATTTGCCCGCTTCTGAAAACGCTCAGCCAAATTTCCCCTGATCAGGCTTTCCAGTGCAGGCCTAACCATGGGTGGCACTTGGGCTATGATGTCCCTGGGGTGGCCTTTCTCAACGGCCTCCCTGAGAAAATCTGCGGGTTCCTTGGGGACACCAAACTGTAAAAGCTCGCAAGGTTCTTGCTCCAACCAGCTGTCTGAAAAGTGCAAGTCAGCATGCTTCTTCAAAATGTCATCTCTGAGCACACCCCCCGGAAAAACTTTACGATGACAAACTTTGGCTCCTTTGGGAAGCTCTGTCAAAAATTTTGAAATAGAATTTTCATCATCCACCTTGGCAAGAAGGGGTACATAGTAACCCTATTCTGAAACAAGTGGTCGCAACTTCTGTCCACGAGGTTGAGTGGTGGACAGTTGCTTGGCTGCCGCATTGTTAACCTCCTTCAGCTGTCCATGCAAATCATCAAAGAAAACAAATCCAAAAGATTCTGCCTCCGATTTCAAAATGGATGCGATTCGATCGCAAAGCAACTGTGGATATGCAGCTTCTTCAGCGGTGGGAAAAATGGTCTGCCCCTTCGCATCCTTGTATGGTCTCCATAAAGATGAAAACAAATCATTGGACGGCCGACGTGGGTTCCAGCTCCACCAGGCTGTACGCTTGTCCCTTTTGCCACCATGCATGCAATGATCAAAATATGAAAAATGCAAATGACCAAAATCCTCTAACAGCTCCTTGATGGGAGTGCAAAACCAGAAAAAAGAGTTCTTGGGGTTCTCGATGCTCACCGACACCCCCAAGGCAATGAGATGTCGCACCACGATGGCCGTAGCTGCATAGCATTTGTTTGCCTTGTCAACTCGCTCCTGTTGACTGGGTGGTAAACGGGTAGGCTTCTGACCGCAAAGGTTGTGGTCCCTTTGAAGGATCTTCTCCAGGTATTGGGCGCCCACGCGCCCGGGATGCTGTGCCGCATGCTGGCGCAAAGTGCGCGTGAAGGAGATTGCCAGCCTCCACTGCGAAAATCCAACAGGACCTAATTACAACCACTAGTCGCGCTCCTAACGTCGCAAGGGGTCGGCTTAACTCCGCGTCGAGCGTTTAACAAGTTAAAACCCAAAACACGACGGCTGTCACTGCAAAACTC